GTGAACCTACCAAGAGCATGCCTGGATGCACTTCTTTCTACAAGGCCGACAGCTGCCCCTCGCAATCTCCAACCATCGTCGTGGATCGTGTGGCGCTGCCCGACCACGACAACGAACACCTCCACCGGCACGATGACCACGACCACGTACAGCGCAGCCACCTGGCCTGCGACGCTCGGTTGACGAAGTCACGGGTGGTGACAATAGCGATTGCGATCGCGAAACTCTGGGTGGTCAGCTGCCAGGTGACATGCCGGCAAGACCAGGAGTTTGTGGAGAACTCTGCGACGTTCTGTCCCTATTTCCAGGCATCTGCCGAACGTTAGCCAGAAGGACTCCCACTCTTGGAGCGTGAGCTCATCGAGGGCTCTCCCAATTTTGTTTGCGAGAAGTCGACATGTGATGCAACGAGTCTACCCCTGAACTCGGTGAGTGATGCGAGGGTGTCACATCTGGTCAAGGCTGCATGGCCTCTTGCGCCCTGGGGTGTTCTGGCGACTCGCGATGGTACAACTGTCAGACGCCAGAGTTTGAGCCTTGAGCCCGAGGGGGCGCCTTTGGATTGCCAGCGACAAGAATGCAGAGGTGCTGTTGTCGACTGGGAGATGAGACTGGTTATTGGGTCTGGGGACAGAAGCACTGACAGGAATTCCTGTGTGGAATACAACTGGGAGGGTTTAGGAAGTTCCGACAGCATCTTCACCGGTGACTCTTGTGAGGTTACATGTAGGTGGGGCTACGCAGGCAGCCCCGTAAACTACACATGCAGCCTGGATGGCATAACCTTCGCGCCCGCAGATAGCCAGAAAAACATCACATGCCAAGTGAAGATGTACGATTGGCCCGGCCAAGATGTGTTTGAGAATTACTCCGCGCAAATGTACTCCCAGCATGGGCAAGAGATTTGCAATGGCAGTGCCTCGGAAGTCCCTCATCTCACACGGTCTTCGACCAGATGCTTACTGACACATTGGGGCAAGATCGGCGGGATTTCTTGTTACGACGGCATCTTGGGGGGAATGGAACACTTGAAGTTATTGGACTGCAGCCCAGGGTATGCTCTGTGCAGACTAATCTCATGGCCCCTGGTGTGGACTTCCAGGATTGCATTGGGGTACTCTACACCACAAATTGCACGTTGCGGTGCCTCCCTGGATACGAGCTCATTGGACATGCAGAGCTTCATTGCAATGAGTCCGGGTCATTACTCGGCATGCATGACCAGCACTGCAGGCAAGGAAGTGCCCTGCTCTTTCTCTTGGGTAATCTATGGCCGGCACGCCAGTGCTGTCCCGCTATGCAGAGAGGGGGTATGGGGACTATTGCTGCGGTGATGGTGAATTGCAACGGAGTGCAGTGACGTCTGCGCAGTGGCGTGAGGAGGACGTTCGCCAACTCGCAGCAGCCTGTGACGAGTCTTCCGCCATCAATTTCGGCCTCGACGCAGTGCAATTCATGCACACCTGTGACTCCGTGAACCACAGCCAGACATGCGTTGCCGACTGCAGCGATGGCTACAACTTGACCAGCAACCTAGCTTTCTCACATGCAGCAGTGGAGTGCTCAGCGGAGCGGAAGTCTTGCACTGATCTGACCTTGGAGTCGAAGTTTGCGCACAACTGCCTCAATATGACCTTTGAGCAGAATTGTGCCGTTAGCTGTGGAAGGGGCTGGACCATGGTAGGTGCGGTCTCCGTTTTTGAATGCGGTGCAGATGGCGTCATCACCGGTGAGCTTCCTCAGTGTGTGGGACAGCCATGTGATGCCATACCTTCAGCTGGGCCTCGGTGACCTGCAGGCAACATCAACATCGCTGGCTCAATAGAGTGTGCACGGATCAACTGCCATACCAATGTCACCATTCCTCACATCGAGCATACATGTGCCAGCGCTGATGTGCTCTCCGACGGTTCATGCTTCGCCTTCAGTGAGGGCTCCAAATGCAGTCGAGGGCTTCAGAGCAGTGGAAATGTGCTCATTCGGACAGTGGCCTCAGCGCAGTCAGCAACGTACCTGTGGTGGATGGCTATACCTTGCGAGGTGTCGCTGCATGCCGGTTACATGCATCTACAAGATGCCGGGTGGTCCTGAGTATGAGCACAACTGCGAGAAAATCGGTCACCTCGACGTCCGCGACAGTCACCTCCTCGACCACGTACACCGCCACGACCACGACTTTCTGGAATGGCACCGTCTTCCGAAGTTGAAGAAGGAATCGTTCTGGCTGTGGCTTCCATATTAAATGTCAGCGCCGTGAACATCAACCTGACCTACGTAACTGACGCCGAGACCATGGATGAGATGGTGAGGGTCTACTATGTTGCTTCCCGTGCGTTCCCTACCCCGGAGGAGGCAGACGACTTCACAGACTTTGTGCAGGGCAAGTTATCTTCCATCACGTCGAGGGAGGTGCAAGATGTCATGAACACAATGCTCGAGCACCTGGTGTTCGCCGTTTGGTGCGACGAAGCAAGTTGTTGCCCGCTCTCATGCGGGGATCACGCCCAGCAGTTCCCATAGTGATCCGAGCCCCAGACCACCGCACAGCAAGAGCTGAAGAAGCTGCCGTCCTCGCCATGAGTTCGGAACAGAAGGAAAACTTGAGAGGAAACTGCGATGCAAGACATTTGTCAACTCCATTGCAGACTGGCGGAAACTGAAAGAAGGTTGAGAGAAGTTGTGTTGCGGACTTGCCACCTGAGAGGTTGCGTCTAAGAGAGACGTCACCTGACAAGTGACGGTTTCCGTAATTCTTGCCACTGGAGAGGTCTGTATGGGCCCACAACCTTCGGCCGAAGGGGGGCTTAAGCCCCCCCTTCAAGCCCCTCTTAAGGTGACCTTAAGGGGGGACCCTTAAGCCCCCCCCCCCCCTTAAGCTCCCCTTCAAGGGTCTTCGAAGGAGGGCTTAAGAGGGGCTTCAAGGGGGGGCTTAAGGGTCTTCCCCTTAAGGGGGGCTTCAAGGGGGGCTTGGCTGGCAAGCACTGGTGCGGTGCTCCGTATTGGCGAGCTACGGTCGATGACTTTATCCGTGAGCCGTGCGGAAAAGGCCCCAGAGCCGGCGGATTTCTCGGACAGTTCCAGCATCATGTGGTACGTCGGCTTGACTGCCTGCATCTTCGTGATCATGGACTTGTCTGTCTTCCTCTGGTACTTCATCTACAAGAATCGCAAGGAGGAGCAGAACAAGGCCGTGCATTTCCGAAGAGCGACAGCAGCGAGACTAAGGTGGTCATCGACGAGCCCACTGAACCCATTGCTTCGGAGAATGAAGCGCAGGTAATGTTTAAACATGAGCCCGCTGAGCCGGAAGGCTTGCAGGCGGCTGCCGACCCAGCCACGGAGCTCCAGCTGGACCTTTTCATTTTTCTGCAGGCCTGCATTTCTTGAAAGATAAATGCTGGTGCAAATTCTGCACAGGCACAACCCTTACGAGTGGCAAAGAAGCGTCATGATGACTTGAGTGGAGAGGGCTAGGGGCACTGGAACATCATGTTGATATTTTGATTGCATCCAAGGATCGGCGCTCCTCTGCTGCTTGCAGCCTCTGTACTGCAGCTCTTTCACAGATGTTTTCAGGCCGACTGACATAACATCTGTTCGGGCAGTAGTCTGAGTCATAGTAAACATCTAGCCCTTGTATTCGCTAGAAATTTAACGCAGTAGCAGTTGCGCGCATCTCGAGAGTGCGGAAGTCATCTCCCCCATTCTCCGGAAGCCAGAATGACTGTGAACAGAGCAACAACCGCAGCAGCAAAAAAATCAACAGCACAAATCGGTGCCAAGTCGCCTGCAGTGCAGGGCATCGCAGGCTTACCCTTGGGGCAAAGTGAGACCAGAGTCCGGTCCTCCCCGAAAAGGCCTGGTGTTCAATCTTGTCGGCGCCGCTGCTGCTGCTGCCCCGCTCTTGATTTCGTCGTGGTTGTCCTTCGTGCGTTTTTTCGGGTGTCTTCGTTGTCATCTTCCTCGTGATTGTATTGCGCATCATGCACTTGCTGTTGCTGCTGTTGTTAGCGGCCTCGCACTGTATCACTGTTGCAAGAAGAACTTACTGCTTGGTGCCCATCGGGTGCGAGGCCGGAAACGCCGACGCAGATGCCATCGATGTACACCCCTACGACGGAGTCAGGCCGCCAATTCCCAATTTGAGGAAGGGGGACTTTGAGGAAGCTTCCCCAAATAACCAAACAGCTCGATGAAAGCACTGACGTGGTATGAGCGTGTTGCCCCGAGATGTGTTTCGCAAGTGAAAAAGCTTTAGACTTGACTTCGTGAACCAGTTCCAAGGCGAAGCAGATTCATGCGAAAATCTCCAACCTTCCCTGGCCGCAATGATTTTACAGTGCTCCTGCTCTGCTTCATGGCGGCAGAGTATTCGATCTGTTCAGTTTTGCTTGTGCGGGTCTTCTTGGTCGTCGGGTTATGGTAGATAGCGAAGCAGTTCTCGTCCGGCTTTGACAGAATATGAGGACCCAGCCAGCAAGAAGCTAGTTTAGCATTCTCCCATCAACAACGGCGGCCGCCAGCACGTACACTTGAAGGTCACTTGACTGATCGGTGGGTGTATTCTGAACACAGGATCAGTGTCAATACCTTATCGTCAACCTGAAGTGCTTGTCAAATCAGTCCGTGGTGGACCTGACGACAGACTTTTTTTTGTGGTTTCCGCTTGTAAGATGAAAGTACGTTTCTTCATGCTGCAAAGAACCCTAAACCCTAAACCCTAAACCTTAAACCCTAAACCCTGAACATGCTGCAAAGGTGCGGTCCCCACGAGTGCGGCTCTGCGGCTCCAGCAGATCGCTTCTTGCTCTGCATCGCTGACCTTGTGGAGATGTGCATTGAAGATGTGACCGGGCGGTTTAGGGTTTAAGGTTTGGGTTTAGGGTTGTCCCCCTCATTCCCGCACGAGTGCTGCCAGGTCAGAAGAGCATCTGGTGATTCGCAACTTGTGCTGGCCTCATGCTGCATCTTGCTCAAAGTTTTGTTAGAAGGGTTTCAGCATGGCGCTTGGGGACGTGGCATTCTGCTTGTGCCTGGTCGGGGCCGAACCGGTTCCAGTCTGTGGGTGGATCGTGGATTGCTCCGATAGTGAAGTGGTGCTTGGAACTTCGAATGATTTGACCCAGCTGGAGAACAGTGCCGTGGGAAAAGCCGGGGACGTTAGCGTGCGGTTTGTGCGGGTGCCCATTGCCTCTATCACAGAAACTGTTCCTGCAGCTTGGAAGGGGTTGAAGCCGAAGGACCTCCCATCATACAAGGCATGTACTACAGCATGGCCCAAGGTAAAGACGACAGATTTGGGAAGCAGCGGGGCCGAGCTGCCCAGAAAGCAGAAGCCGGAGCGACCTCTTCCTCGGGGGACCTCCTTAGGCAGGGATCTCGAGAAGCTTCGGCGGGTCTATGGGACCGGGGCGGACGACGACGACGACACCGACCACAACGAGGACTCAGAGGGAGAGGAGATTCCGAAGCGCGGGCGTGCATCGAGCAGTTTTCTCCCCCCAGGGGGCCGAGAGATCGGCCGCAAGAAGGGAGACAGCAGGCAGCGAGAGAGCAGCCCGGATCTTCGGAAAGCCCTCTTGAAAGGTCTTGCTTCGGGCCAGCCGGCGGCCGACCTCATGCCGGCGATGATGATGGCGCTCCTGCTGGACAAGGATCGCAAGGGGGGCCGCAAGAAAGGCCGCGAGGATCCCGACGAGCTGGGCATCCTTGGTGGTTCCGACTCCGACGACTCGGGTATCGAAGGCGAGGCCAAATCCAAAGGCATGCGAGCGGTGGTGACTTTGAACAAACTTCACAAGCATATCAAGACGAAGCCCAACCGGATCTGCAGCCTCTTCGAAAAGGAGGTGATAGAGGATTTGGGGATTGTTCAGGGTCAGGCCTGGACTTGAAGGACTTCGTTCGAAAGCAACATTGGGGAAAATTCAAGGGCATTTATCGGTGTGCCATGATGGACGTGGCGGTGTACGAGTACTTGAGGAACAATCAGCCGGAGATTGCGGCGGCCCAGGTGGTGCAGAACTTGAAGGCGAAGATGCAGAGTGTCTTGCAGGGCGGGGATTGGTCAGCGGCATGGTTGCTGACGGGCTTGCCGGACCCCTTGGCGAGGAGAGAGTTCGCGGGCAGCAAGGAGGAGATGGCCGTGGTATCGGGCTACGTGGAGGATAGCGGCTTCAGAAGAGGGTGAAGGAAGCGCAGAATGGCAAGAACCACGGCGACGAGGAGGACGAGGTTCCCCCCGGGGGCCGAAAGTGATATCCCTTCGAGATGTGCATGGTTTGCCGGGCGGTGTGGTGCAACATCCCATCCTGGCTTCAAGGACTTTGAATTCAAGTTTTCATGATTACTTTGTGTGGTTTGAGGGCGTCCAAGGTCATAGGCTGGAGCGGTCCGGCAGCGATGTCCCGCTATTTCCATGCATGCTGCCCTATCCGGATGCCGTGGTCACTGAAGGTGAGACGATGGGGGAAGGCCAGGTGTGTGAGTGGTGGTCCCGGGCTTTCGTTAACACGTTTATGGCTTGGGGCAACTTTGTCACCCTTGGCTGTCCTCGTCCCGGGGGCAGTGCGTATGAGCCGCGAGTGGGCTACTTGAGCATGGAAGGCATTCGGGCCTTTGCTGATAAGCTCCTTGGCGAGGTACGTGAATTTGTTTGTCTGGATCTTGTGTTGGGTCGGCTTTCTTGTGATGGCAAGAAGGGGGCGATAGACGCCTTGATCTCGGAGGTCCAGTGTACAGTTGGTGCAAGCTATTTCAAGCAGTTTGGTCAGGTCGATGGTGGCATGGTGGGCACAGCTTTGCCCGTGGCCGCCGAGCGGGTGGCAATTCCTGAGAAGGCGGGGACGGTGGACCCGTGCGATTGGTTGGAGCCCGATAAAGCACATATCCTCAATAACCTGGAGCAGCATCGTTTGCCAGAGTACTTGTGGTCGGATGTGGTCAGGGCTTGTCATCGCGTACCCCAGGAGGAGGAGGCGCCTTTGGCGCGCCGTCTCCTCGAGGCGGACGTGGCGGTGCTGGTGCCGGAGAGTGAGCTTCCGCGGAACCAGGCGGGGGACCTTATGCCGGGTGGCTTATTCTGCGTAGCGAAGAATCAGAAGGAGGACCGCTTGATATTTGACAGGCGGCCTGAGAACGGCACGATGGAGAGATTGAGGTGGGCGCGACTTCCCGCTGGTTCGTGCTTCTGTCGGATGCTGTTGCGAAGTGATCAGTTTTTGAGGGGTTCGGGGGATGATTTGCGTACCTACTATTATATGCTGAAGCTTCCCGACAGTTGGGTGAGATTCAACGCCGTGGGCCGCCAGGTTGAGCGATCGATTGTCGCGGAGTTCGGTGGCAACCCTCAGATACCGTATCGGTTGTGCTTCAGGGTCTTAGGGATGGGCGACCTCAACGCTTGTGATGTCGAGGCTGTCCTCCGCAAGCACGGCGTCTTGAACCCAGCCAACACCTTGCACTACGGGGAACATGTTCCTGAAAGTGACCTCTGGGAGGGTGCGTACCTAGATGACTTGCTGATTGCCCAGAGGACCACCCTGCCCTTTGACATCCCCCTAGACGGCAGCTTCACGCCCCCCGCCGCCCAGGTCAACGATCAGGACTTTGAGCAGGTGAAGGCGGCGGAGACCGCTTATGAAGCAGCCGGCTTGGAGAGAGCAGTGCACAAAGCCTTTCGTTTTGAACCTCGCTTTCGTGCTTGGGGCGCGGAGGTCGATGGGATTCGAGGGCGAGTCGGAACTCCGCGGGATGCTCGACGCCAAGTGTGGATGCTTCTTTTCAAGATTGTCACGGGTGGTTGGTGTTCCCGCGAGGTGCTTCAAAAGGTGGTGGGGTACCTCGCCTTTGTGTTCCAGTATCGTCGCGAGTTTTACGGCTTGCAGCACCATGTGTACCGGTACATTGCAAAGATGCCCGATAAGAAGTGGGTACGGCTGCCAGGCTACATCCTCGACGAGCTCAGGAGCTGTTCGCTCCACCTTCCATTTGCCAGGTGGGACATGCGACGCGAGATCAGCTCCAGCCTCTTAGCGACAGATGCCACGCCGAGTTCAGGTGGAGCCGTGGACGCTCCGATTTCGGAAGCTTTGGCGCAGGCCTTGTGGAAGCATGCCGAGTTGAAGGGTGAAGCCGTTCGATTGGATGGGTCAGGTGCCTTGGAGTGGCTGGCGCCACGACCGATGGAGGCCTCGCGATTCGCCAGCTCGGTAGCTTTGTGCCTTCCTTGGCGAGTGGTTAGCAGTTACCATTTTCGAGAGACGAGCCACACCAATCTCCAGGAGGCCCGTGCGCTGCGGAAGGAAGTCATCCGATTGGCCGCGAACCCGGCCAACCACAACCTAGTGATCCTGGCCCTCAACGATTCCCGGGTAGTCCTAGGCGCTTTTGTCAAGGGCCGCAGTAGCAGTCGCAAATTGAATGGGATTTTGAGAGCGATGATCCCACACTTGGTCGTGTCCGGCATCTCCTTATCGTTGCTGTGGGTTGAGACTGAAGCCAACGTCGCCGATGCACCGTCGCGTTTTCGGTCGCTGCCTGCACCCCTTCCGGCTCCCAGGTGGCTTCGTGAACTTGGTGTCCAACGTCGAGGCGGAGCACTACCAGGGCTTTTAGGAGTTGAGGTTTTGGTTGGTTCAGCTTGTTTGACCGCAGCCGCGAAGGACAGAGGCTTGGACATGTTGGCCCCGATCGAGCTGAGCTGGGACCGGGACGTTTTTGAGACGTGGGTGACTCAGCTGTTTGCGGGAGGTGATTTGTGCTGGGCCTGGATTGCGCCTCCGCGGCGAACCTTCGTGCGAACGGGTGGCTCCGATGGCAGGCGACTCTGGCGGCCTCGTGAACAACCCGAGGGCGATCCAGAGCAACCGGAGGTGGCTGTGGAAAATGCTCTTTGGCTGCGGGCGCTAGAACTAGCACATCTAGCCGTCGCGCAGGGGATCTTCTTTGTGCTTGAGCACCCGAAGCGGAGCAGGGCATGGAGTTGGCCAGAGACCCAGAAGTTGCTGTCAACCGAGGGCGTCAAGTTGCTGCAAGTGGATTGGAGTGCGTGCGATCGGGAGGAGCCTGAGTTTGTTGGTGGTGGTAGCAAGTCGCGCCTGTTGACCAATGCCCCATGGCTCGAGAGAGTCGTGCAGCGATTCCCAGGCGGCCCCAAGCATGCGCATGTACATCCCAGAGTGGCTGCCTGGAGTGATCGATCCGTGAGTGTAGCCAGGCAGTATCCCGCCAGCTTTTGTGGTGCATTTATCGATGCGTTGGTCAACTGGTCGGAAGCGGGTGCCTCTGCGGCATGCCGCTTTGAGTGTTGAGTATCGTCATAACCTTCGTGAGTCCTCGGCGTGGCTTTTGAACAAAGCGAGGGAGCTGGGGGCCAAGTTGACGCGGCGCTCTTCGTCGCGAACGGTGGATCGCATTCTTGAGGCTACAGTGGAGCGCTGTTACCAGGAGGGGGAGAGGTTGTACAAAGTGACACTAGGAGTCCTGGGGCTGCAGCGTGCATTGCAAATCTCGGGGCCCCTCCTTCGGGGTACTTGGGCTGCGATCCGGGGATGGCGATCATTACAACCAGTTAAGTCCAGAGTGCCAATGTCAAAGTATGTGCTGGAGGGACTGCTTGTGGTCTTAACAGCTCGCGCACTAAGAGAGGTGGGCCGAGTACGGGAAAGATTCTTGGCCGCCATGTTGGCGTCGTGGATCTGCTTTGAAGCTCTGTTGCGACCGGGTGAAGCTGACAACTTGCTGGTAGGTGACGTGTGTTTGCCGGATCCCGGACTTCCCTCGGATGAGGCGGTAGGCCGATACCTGTGTTTACTCAGTTTTGTTTCCAGCTTTATTCCGCAGCTTGTGATCCCGCGCTGCTTTCGGGATCAAGCTCGACAGCCAGCTCAACAAAAGCTTCGCTTAGCTTGCTTGCTTAAATTTTCAAATCATGAGCTTTTACAGCATGACAGCAGATTGCATATCTTCCTTTGCATGGCATGCGCTTTCATATGCTTTTCATTTTTGAGCTAGGACTTTGAGCCAGTGGAGCTGCATGGATTCAGAGGCAGACGTGTCTGCTCGCTTTGCTGCTCTGGAAACCTTCTTTCAAACCGTTGTTGACGCTCGGTGTTCTGTCTTGGAGCAGAGACTCGCCACGGTGGAGGTCACGAACCAGGCGGTGCTTAATTCTTTGCGGCACGTATCTGGTGAAGTTGAGAACCTCGAGCATCGCTTTGCTGCTTTTGAGTTTGCCAACGGCCCGGTTAGTGAGGACGACTTTGCTGCCCTCAGGCAGGAACTGCACGAGGCCTTGAATCAGCTTCGTCAACGGGTTGATCGTGCTGTGGCTGCTTTGGAAGCTCAGACCACGGCCGTTAGGGGCGAGTCCGATTCGGGTCACTAAGGTCACCATGGCTTCAGATGCTTTTTGTGAGCATTTGCAGAACTTGGTTTCAGATGGTTCGGATGATGCAGCTGACAGGCCGCGTTTGGTTGTCAAGCGCTACCGACGCAGTCAGGACCCCGATGCTGAAGCGGCAGCTGCGGCCCCGTGCTTTCAGGATACTTTACCAGACTCGCCGGCGACCTCTGCTTCATGGAGTGTTCTTTCAGCCTCGGCGGCTATGAACCCACGTGCTCTTTGCTTTGCAGATGTGCAGACCCACCTGCCTTTTCAGGCAACGCCTGTACCTCGACCTGGTTATCCTTTGCATGGTCGCGAGCTCGCTCCTTTCCGAGTGGATGGTTTTCGTGGTGGCGTCAGCCCTGTTCGGCCCAGGGTTTTCCGACCATTAGCTCGTCCGAAGCCAGCCCCTTATTGGGGGCCTCGTCGCAATGTTGCTTTGCCTGCAGGGAACCCACGGCCGGTGCCTACGTTTGCTGGTGCCTCTGCTTTGAGCACGGGACCGGTGCATAGGGCCCGACATCAGACTGTCCGAGCCGACGCCCATCACTCTGCAGCTGTGGGTTCTTTTTCGTTATCGGCAACTGGCTTGCAGTGTGGCTCTGCTCCTGCTTTGACAGGCAGCTTCAAATCCCCGACATTGCCCAGGCCAAATGCTGCTTTGGGATCAGTTGTGACCTCGGTGAAGAAGCATGCAGTTAACTGGCAATTGGTGCTTTCTTTGTGGCGAGATCTCGTTGATCGCCACGCGTCAGTTAGCGAACCTTTCTCTGGGCTGGCCGACAGTCGGCACAAGGAACGGATGCTCCAGAGCATGCTTTCACGGAACAGTGACACAACATTGCTTCGTTACTTGCGCTCTGTCTCGAGGTTCTTTGATATGCTTCAGGCTGCGGGTCACCACATTGGCAAGCTTTCTCAGCACCATGTCATGGATGTACTGCTTTGCTGTCAAGAAGAGAACTCCGATTCTTTGAGTTTGCCGCTTAACATGATCAAAGCCCTTCGCTGGTACCTTCGGGTTTCTTTGATCGCCTTTCCTTCTTTGTATGGGGGGCTTTTCATTGCGGCCACTGCTTTGCCAGATGGCGAGAGGAAGGAGGCCATGCCCCTTCCCTTGATTGTGGTCGTGGAGCTCGAACGTCTTGTGCTGAATGTGGAGGCAGCAGTGCAGGATCGAGTCATCGCCGGAGCCCTGCTTTGCTGCGTTTGGGCTTCCCTTCGCTTCAGTGACTCGCAACACTTGCTTTGGAGCTCCCTTGTATCGGATGCCGAGTCACTTCGAGGAGTTTGCTTTCGCACCAAGACAAATCGTCGGGGCTCTGCTTTTGGGGTTATCGCCACTGGCTTCTTGTCGGAGGTGTCCTCTCCCGAACAATCTTGGACTCATGTGCTGTTGGATCTCCTTCGATCGATCAAGTCTCAGGTCATTGAACGAAGTGGGGTTGGCGACTTTGAGCCCGACGCGCTTTTCTTTCAATGGGGGGTTTCCAACGAAGTGCTTTTTGCGCCATTGGAATATGCCTTCGTTTTGCGCTGGCTGCGCCGCTTCGCTTCTGCTTTTGTTCCCTGCGGGGACAACTATACTTTGCATAGCTGCAAGGCGACTTTACTTAGCATCATGAATCAGCTTCTACTGGCGCGCGAGCTGAGATCTCTACAGGGCCACCACAAATTCGACTCGGCGGCTCTTTATTCTCGTGACGATGTATGGCTTCCTTTAGCGGGACAGCGAGTTGTCAGACGTGCTGTGCTTTCTGGTTGGAGGCCATTGGCTCCTCAACATCGTGGCGGCCAGGCCCCTGCTGTGGAGCCCGAAGTTCAGCTATCAGGTATTGACGTTATGGGCGACTGGGAGGACGCGGCCGACTCTATTGCTTCGGCCCCCTCTTCTTTGCAGTCTCCATGCATGGTGTCTCCTGCTTTGCAACCCGAGGTACCAGCAGTCCAGTTGCCGACTTCATCACCATCCTCTCCGAGGCCTTTTCCGGAGCAGTCTGCCCAGGCTTTCACAGGCGAGCCTGCAGAGAAGCCGGGTGGGGTCGACAGTGATGAGGATGCTTTTGACGAGTTTGAATTTTTGATTTCACGGAGTGGCATTGTGCATGTGCAAGCTGCTTCTGTTTCCGATAAGGGCCTTATGAGGACGGCCTGTGGTATATGGTCGGCAAACTTTTCTTTGCTTTCGGACCTGCCAGAGGGAGTGATTTTCTGCAAGCACAAGGCATGCCAGTCGGCCCTTTCTCGGGCAGCTTGAGTTTTTGAGGGGTGCCAAAACCACTGAGCTTGTGCTGAGCCTTTGTGCTTTTTATGTTGGCGGCATACAGCATTGGCATGTGCTTTGCTTCGCTTCCGCTTCCAGCTTGGCTGTTGCATCGGCCGTGGGTCGGGTGTGGGACTGTGCGCTGTCCTTCCAATTCGTCTGGCCCTCAGTACTGTTCTGCCACAGTGTATTGCAGCTCTGCTTCGCTTGCTTTTTGGCAGCATCGCTTGATTGAGCTGCTTGCTGCAGCCTTCTCTTGCTTCAAAGATTGACTCAGCTTTTTGCTTTAGCTTTTATCTGACTTACGGTCAGAATGTCGGATGCTTTGGCGACCAACCTTTTGATCGCGCTTCTTCAGGAACGCGGGTTCAACGCTATCCCTGCTGTTCCTCAGCAGGCTACAGCCGACGCATCACCTGCTGATGCTGTGGACCCCGCGGTGGGGACGGCTGATGCCCCTGCTTCCGCCAAGGCTCCCCCACCTTCGGTGGGCAAGGCGCCGCCTCCTCCGGTTCCTGAGTCCATTTCGGAGCCCACGGAGCAAGTGGCAGAGGAGCCTGCTTTGCCCACTGAGTTGCCGGCAGAGTCACCTGCTTTGTCTACGGCGGCTCCTGAGAATCCACCTGCTGTGGATCCCGTGGATCCTGCTTTTGGCATGCAGGTGTGGGGCGTGCCCCTGGAGACGTACGACAATTGGTTGGGGTACACCATGCACGACTGGCTGGAGTTCTGGAGCTTTCAGCCACCAAGCTCCCAGCCCCCTGAAATGCGTGATGCTTTGTTTTGGGGGAAGTACCATAGATCGGTGGCATCGCAAACGGCCCCAGCTCCTGCTTTTCCTGCGGCTGCTGGCGATGGCGTTGCTTCCGGCCCAGGGCAGTCTCCTGCTGTCGATCCTCCTGCTGTTGATGGTGTGGACACCTACATGGGCGATCCCTGGCAAGGATATCGTGGCCTTGATACTACGTTGCCTAGCCCTGCAGGTGATGCTTTGCCGACGTCTGGCCCCGGCACTTCTCCTGCTTTGGATCCAGCTACCTCCTGTGAGCGACCCCTCGGCCTCAGACCCAGGCCCGTCCGTTCCTGCTGCTGATGCTACTGCGGGCCAGGACCATGCTTTCGCTTCCTCTTCGGGGGACGGTGCCGCAGCTGGGCAGGACACGGCCACTCCTGCTGTCGAGGAGCCACCGTCACCCACCTTCGAGATGATCTACCGTTGCCGTTCGAGGTGCATGGACTGCCAGTCTGCTTTTTGCGGGAAGTCCGCCCCTTCTTACCAGGCGGCTAAGTTTCACCCCCACCATCGCTGCCGCTATTGTTGGGCCAAGTTCAAGGCAAATAACTTGTAAGTTATGTTCAAGCTTTCTGGAAATTAGTAAAAGCTCGCCCTTTTTAGGCTTGTTGTGGATTTATTTTGAAAAGTAGTCGGACACCCTTTTTGAGTATGTGGACTACTTTTCAATGACAGAAAGACAAATAAGTTATTCGCCTTGGCTTTCCAGCATTTTGCTTTTGAGAGACGTAGCTCCGCTGCTCTCTAGCTCCTTTCTGTCGCAAGACCGTGAGCCGAGTTTCTGCAACACAGTTTGTACTTTGCACTGCATGCATGGCTCCTGCTTTGGATCTTGTCGCGCTCAGGCCAATCGCCATTGGACCAGAGGCAGGACTTCTTTGCATCGCCTTAATTTTCTGTCACGCCCCGGTCAGGATGGCTTCAGGTGCGATTTCTTTCAAGGATCGCCTGCTTTCCGGCGAGGTCCCCGAGGTTGTGGCTGATGCCTTAGTGGATGCAGGCCTCACTGATCGCCTTTTCTCTGCGATTGTGGTTAAAGTTGAAGACCTGGAGTCTGCTTTGGAGCAATGGGTCCCAGCGGCCCTTTTGGCCGCACACCCTGCTGCAGTTCCAGCCCTACGCTTGCTTTGGCTTGAGAGTTGCCACGCTTCTTTGCGTCCAGCTGCTGGGGGCAGTTTCCCGCCCAGCCCTCCGGCAGGTGGCTTAGGTCCATCCCCAGACGGTGCTACTCCGGGGTCTTGGGCTGAGACCTTTGCACCCAAGCTTTCCGCGGCAAAAGTCAACGAAATGAAGGATGCTTTTTTCGAGCAGTATCCTAGCGAGCTTTTGGACCCAGATCTGATGCCCTCCATTCGCTTGCTTTCACACGTGTACAAGCAGTCATGTTCCAAGGAGTTTGCTTTTGTGCCTTGGAAGTTTCGCATGTCGGTCAAGCTGCACGAGGAGCAGCAGATGGCCAAACCGGCAAAGCGAGCTCGCTCTGAGCTTTCGGACTTGCTTTTTGATGACGTGCCTACGAGGGACATTCCTTCGTCGGGTGGAATGGGGATGTATCATTGTCAACAAATCCTCGGCCTGCTTTCTTCTGCTTTGGCACTTTGCGGGGCCGCGCACTTGCACACCTTGCGAAACTATGAGCGCTGCTTTATGCGCCATGCTTTCGCGAAGGTCAGTGTGGACTCCGGCCTGAGGGGACCGAACTCCGAGGAGATGCAACATGCTGATCGCATGCTTTGGTCCTCAATTGCAGAACTTTGTTCGAAGGGCTTTGCTTTGGATGATGCAATCCATGAGGTCGTGGACGTTCGTGCCGGTGTCAGTACTTGGTTGCAGCCACGTGCTGCTCCTGTCAAGATTAAGGACTTTAATGCTTTTCAGGCATTGGGCCGTGGTCGTGGCGGCAAAGGCAAGGGCAAGGGCTTCGGAAAGAGCTTTACGAACACAGGCAAGGGCAATACGGGCACACCTTCCACCGGTGCTTCTGAGCGTATCCCCTGGGTCAACCATATTATGGATAAAGGCGAGAAGAAGATGCTTTGTATGGACTACAATCGCCGCCAGGGCTGCTCTCGTGGGAAAAATTGCAAATTTTTGCACCGTTGCTGTGTGACAACCACGCCTGTGGCAAGTCCCATCCTGCTTTTGAGCACCCGGGGAATGCCCAATAGGGTTGCCCGCGCGGGGTTTCGAGGAGCCCGGTGAGGGGTACGCATGTGTCCTCGATTACATCTTCGTCTTCTGAGGAACAGTGCAGCAGCCAGGGTTCTCCCTTGCTACCTCCTCCAGGTGACTGGTGTGAAACGGCAGCTTTACCTTCTCCACCTGCTTTGTCAGGTGACCTTTCTCCGAGCACGCCACACTTGCCAGATGATGTGGTGGATGAGGCTCTCATTTCTTCAGTGATTTCTCCGGCCCAGGCTCCGACCTCGGGTCCTGGCATTGTCTCCGATTCATTGCTTTCTAGCAAGGGCAAGATACTTTTGGACGTGTGCTGCGGCAGCATTCGCCCGATTTCCTTGGCAGCCCTGGGCCTGGGCCTGGGCTTTGCAGTGTTGTCAGTGGACTCAGCGTTTCAAGAACCCATTGACATTATGGTGGACAACCAGTTTGAGCTTTTGCTTCGAGTTTGCTTCTCAGGTATAATTTGGTTCGCTTTCGCGAATCCCCCGGCCCGCTCCGAGGTCCCACACGATTCAGAACATTCCGGCTCGGCCACCCCGGCACTTTTGGAACGATGCGCAACACTCCTGCTTGCGACCTTTCAGGCTGGAGGCCATGTTTGCCTGATACAGTCGGCTGGTTCTACATCTTGGGAACACCCGCTGGTTCGACGTATGCTTTTAGAGATTTCCGCCGCATGTGTTCTGGTGAAGTCCTCAGACTGGGACGCGCAGAGTAGTTTGCAGTGGTTGTTTGCATCGTCCTTTCACGGCCTCAGAGCTCTCTCTGCATCATCGCCGCTGGTGCCCAGCAGCAATGCTGATTGCTTTTCTGATTATGGCAGGCTTCCAGCCGACTTAGTGTCGCAGATTCTACAGACTTTGGCTCCTTTACAGCTTTCTGGTGACGCTTTGGATCTTTCCTTGCTTTCAGCCGTGGGACGAATTCCAATCAAAGATTTCGGTGTCCCTCCTTTTGCTTTCCAGGATGGTGGCGGCATGGGCTCCTGCCCCGACTGGAGCTGTCCTCCTCCGGGAGTACCCAACAAGCTGGCTTCATTGCGGCAATCATGGCTGTCCTTTCTTTTTGCCAAGCGCCTGCCCGGCCGCCTGCAGGAACACATATCCCAACGCGGCGAGGGCAGTTTCTTTCTGCCTGAAGAAGTTTCACAACTTCGGGCGCTTTTTGGCCAGTGGGTTGCATCGCAGGGAGGACCGCATAGCATTGATTGGACAGTAGATGCGGAACAGCCTTATTGCCTTCGGGCACTTTCCGTATTCAGCACCATGCTCTCTGATCCGGATCGATCACTCTTTCCTGCTTTGATCGAGGGGGTGCCCACCGGCTTTGACAAGAATATCCCGGCCAGTAACGTTTTTGCCAAGCGTCCGGTAGGGGATCCTGAAGATGTTGACCTCATACTTTGTGAAGGCAACTGGTCTTCTGCCGAAGCGAACCCTGCTCTTCTCCGAGAGATGGTGGCCAAGGAAGTGGAACTTGGCTTCCTAGAAGAGGTACCACTTGAAACTGCTTTGGAAAGGTGGCCTGACCGCTGTGCAGTTGGTAAGATGAGCATCGTTTCTAGTGAGGGTCGACCTGACCGTTTGGTTGTGGACAACTCCATTTGCAACACTAATGCTTTGTGCCAGATTGATGAGACCTATACTTTGCCGCTATTGGGATCGGCACGTGCTTCTTTTCCCTTGCGGGGGCCGTCCTGTAATCTTTCTGCGGCCACCATAGATGTGAAATCTGCGCATAAAGCAATGAAGGTCAAGGAGAGTGACCGTGGCCTGCTTGGAGTTCAATGTGACGGCCGGCACTATTTTTATTCTGTTTGTCCATTCGGTGCATGTTTCAGTGCTTTGTGGTGGGCACGACTGGGCAGCTTCTTCGTTCGTGCTTTACATCTTCTGATTTATATCAGACACTCGCTCATGTTATACGTGGACGACTTCTTTCTCACACAAGGGGAGTCCACCATCTTTGCCACTACAGTGCTGATTTTAGCATTTTGCGTTTGCTTTAATATTCCTTTGAGCTGGCGCAAACTGGACATTGGACCAGAAGTGGTGTGGATAGGCTGGTGCATCAATGTGCGGGCAGGCTGCTTTTCGATTCCGCAGAGCAAGAGAGATCGTTTGCTTTCGCAGGTCACATCTTTGTTGCGCAACTCTGGGAACGCGCACAAGTGGGATTTGCACAAAGTGACTGGTATGATTCAGTGGTTTCTGCATGCCTTTCCCCATCTTCGACCTTGGGTTGGTGTGCTTTACAAGGATCTCCACTGCCCGCCAGCCACTTTGCATAGCATCGACCCGCATTACTTTGCTGATCTACATGATTGTGTTGACGACAACTTGCTTTTTGTACGTGTACCGTCAGGTACTGCCATCCCTCTTGGTGCCAAGCTGATTGATGTCAGGCATATGCCTATCCGACGCCGCTCTGACCTTGCCAAAATCGTACTTTCTTCCAAGCGCGTTTGGATTCGTGTTGCTGACCCCTCTCAGGTGAAGCGCAAGCTGTCCAAGAACAGCGTTGCTTTTCTGAGTTTTTGGCAACATTGGTGCCAATTGCCGACCCTACTTCGGCCGCTACAATTTACTCCGAGGATCACCTTGGTCGCGGCGGCCGATGCAATGGGGTCAGGTACCAACTTTGCCATTGGCGGTTTCATCAAGCTTTCAACGGCGACTCTATGGTTCAGCGAATGCTTTGCAGTTTCAGATTTTGCATTCGCAGGCATTGAGCTCAGTTCACGGGCGTCCGACAACATTTCATGTTATGAATGCTTAGCTCAGATCGCTTTACTTCACTGTCTTTCAGCCGCCACCCCAGGCGGCCGAATGCATGTCAGGATACCCAGCTGGTCAGACAATACTGGTGCAGAGTCAGTCAGCAACAAGCTTTTTACTTCATCATATCCCCTGAGTATTTTTGCTCAACGCCTAGCGCTTTTTAGCTGCTTTTCTGGCATAGAGCTCGATGCGACACACATTTCTGGACCTCGTAATGAGTTGGCTGACTGGTTGTCTCGTTGGAACGGACAGGATGCCTTGCCTTCCGGCATTCTTCCGAGTTTTCGAGTACGACTTGACTTACGTCAGCTCTGGTTTCGAGAGCGTTGCGTTTCATTCTATCCGAACGGCTTCCAGCCCTCATGGGAAGCGCCTACGTTGCAGCTTTTTCAGGATGCTGATAACCATTGATGCTTTACGGCCTCTTCCATTCTCTGGGAGACATGCCATATGCTTACGGCCTCCTCCTTTGCGGGGACATGCCAAATGCTTACGGCCTCCTCCCTTAGCGAGGACATGCCAAATGGGGCATCCTCTTTTCATGGGGACATGCCCGCCGCAGATGAGCTGCTTTACGACCTCCCTTTCTGGGACATGTCATGCAGCGTGAGCCTTTTAGCAGTCGTCTCACATTCCATTTGGTGGTGCAGCGCGAGACTCCTTTCTCCTGGTAGCTTTCATGGGCTTTCGACAACAGCTTCACAATGCTTGCTTTGCTTCTGCATAGCTTGCACTGCTACAGCCGTTGCACCACCAGTCAAAAGAGAGCCTCGCTGTAGCTTCAGTGTAGTTCTGAGCTGGCTGTCGTAAATAAAGGTTGTGAACGATACCTGTGTTTACTCAGTTTTGTTTCCAGCTTTATTTCGCAGCTTGTGATCCCGCGCTGCTTTCGGGATCAAGCTCGACAGCCAGCTCAACAAAAGCTTCGCTTAGCTTGCTTGCTTAAATTTTCACCCACCCTCCGCTCCCTGTTTCGGATTGCAAGGTCGATCCTTGCCATTCCTGAGGTGATCTTTGTGATACTCGCAGCTATCCTTTTGTTGCTTCGCTTTGGTAATATTCTACTTTGCTTTTATCCGTCCTGTTCTGCAGGTCTGGCATCACAGGGCTTTCGACAACAGCTTCACAATGCTTGCTTTGCTTCTGCATAGCTTGCACTGCTACAGCCGTTGCACCACCAGTCAAAAGAGAGCCTCGCTGTAGCTTCAGTGTAGTTCTGAGCTGGCTGTCGTAAATAAAGGTTGTGAACTGGTCCTTTCGATCCGGGCCCCGAAAGCGCGCCGAGTATGGCGCAACCAGTGCGTCATTGTCAAGAACTGGGCACTGATCAGTTGGCTGGTTTGGTGGATGGAGGGGAAGCCGAGCAAAGAGAAATTGTTCCGAGTGGCACGCCGGGACTGGGCAAAGCTGTTCGCCAAGGGCTTGGAGCTTCTACGTGTTCATGATCTAGGATACACATTAGGGTCGCTACGCGGAGGTGGTGCTACACACTTGTTCCGAGTGACTGAGAACCTGGCGCTTTTGCAATTCGCAGGGCGCTGGGCCCGTCAGGAGACTGTCAAGTCGTACTTGCAGGAGGGGTTAGCGCTCCAGGTGGCCTGCTCAGCGAGTGCTGTTGGAAGAGAGAAGTTGTCCGAAGCGCACTCCGAGTGGCGTTTGTTTAGCAGCCCACCTCCGTTGTCCCGAAGAGTGCTTTTGGCTCCGAGAGATGTCTGAGCGCATCTCTGCAGCTCTTCGTGCCCTAGCCGACGCGCTGGACGAGGAGGCTTGGACGGTGACCCGGGCTAGCTCTCAGGAACACACTGGCCGGCTGCCGGCGCGCCCCTCTACTTCAGAAAGTTCGCGGCCGTTTTCTTCGGACCAGTCGGGCAGTGCTGCTGGACCGTTGGCACGGGCGCAGGCGACTCGAACTACAGCCAGCGTGAGACCGACCAGCTCTTCTTCTTCCTCGTCGGTGGCGGCGTCTGCAAACAAGCAGGGGCCTTCAGTGGGGGCGCAGAGTCAAGTGACAGGGTCGTCGGTGTGCTACCACGGCGACTCTCGCTTCTACGTGGTCTGGGATGGACGGCGGGACCAGCCAAGACAACCTGGCCTCGTCGCCTGGAGGCCGCCCTTCCAAACGGGCGACTCTCCGGCTCTCACGTACGACTCCGACGAGTGCAAAGCCTAGCAGAAGCAGAGACCTTGTGGCACCGGGAGCACCCGGGAGTTCCACTCCCGCAGTTCCCCCTCTAAGTGAACAAGAAAAGGCGGCAACGGACGTCCTGTTGGAAGCGGCGCACACGGCAGCAGTGCAACTAGGAGATGAACCTGTGGATGCTGGGTTGACTCCTGCAGAGGTACTTCAAGATCCCTCTGCTTGCGCCACTGCTACGCGTTGGAAGGCTGGCTCTACCGCTCGTCGAGTGACCGCAGCCCTGGCTTCGCTGTCTACGTGGACGGGCCAAGGCCGTGCGCCGGTCCACGAGCTGCAGCCGGTCAGAACGAGGCCGTTAACTCGGCCAGTTGACGGGCCGCGCCAGCTGTTCACTGGGGAGCTTTTGAGACGGTGGTTGCCGCTTACAAGATGGAGAACGTGGCTGATCCTGATGATGGTTCTGATCTTCCCGCGCGTCATCGCGCTGCTCCTGGCGTTAATGGTGCGGCTTTGTGTCCGCGGCGTGGTGGCCATTGCCATCCATTTTGGCCGTGAGATCTTCTTCCAGATCACCGCAGCGGCAGCGGAGGTTGAAGACTCCTTGGTGCTGTGGCTCTCGGAGCTCCTCATGGGAGGCCCCAGCACGCTACAGCCACCGCTGCTCCTGTCTGATGGGACTCCGGCCCCTGCGCCGCCGCCGCCGCCGCCAGGTGGCATCACGAATACCCTCCCGGCCCGCCCTTTTGACTGCGTGACGATCGTGCTCCTTCTCTGGAACCTGTACCGTGGTCAGCCTGTACGTGGGGGTGGTGGAGAACCAGGAGGTTAAGTTCTTCTTTGCGGGCATGCTTTCGTATGCCCGGGGTGGCCTCGCGGCAGAGTTTGCAGCCTCTGCCTTCTTCGGCCTGTTCCTTTTGTCAACGACTAGTTTTCTCTTCAGTTCCGGTTGACGCCCGAGCCCAGCAGTTAAAAAGGAAGTGCGACGTCTGCAGCAGCATTAAGGCCAAGGAGGGAGGGAATGTCCCCCTCATTCCCGCACGAGTGCTGCCAGGTCAGAAGAGCATCTGGTGATTCGCAACTTGTGCTGGCCTCATGCTGCATCTTGCTCAAAGTTTTGCCACCGCCTCCCCGCCACCGAACCAGGAGGTTAAGTTCTTCTTTGCGGGCATGCTTTCGTATGCCCGGGGTGGCCTCGCGGCAGAGTTTGCAGCCTCTGCCTTCTTCGGCCTGTTCCTTTTGTCAACGACTAGTTTTCTCTTCAGTTCCGGTTGACGCCCGAGCCCAGCAGTTAAAAAGGAAGTGCGACGTCTGCAGCAGCATTAAGGCCAAGGAGGGAGGGAATTAGGGTTTAGGGTTTAGGGCCGCTAAAAAGCTCTTCAGAAAGCTTTCAGTGCTTGCATTGCAAGTGCGGTGATCGAGCCAAGTTGGCACTACCAGCGAGGAATCTTTAATGCATTGTGGTCGTTTGCTACGTCCATCATTAGACTCCAGGTGGGGCTTTGGGACTTTTTATATTTTCCCTTATTGGGCTTAAGAGGATCTTATTTACTAATATTTTTCAAAGGCTCTAAAAGCCCCACCTAGGACTCCAGGTAAGCCGTGCTGATCAGATTCGGCATCCTGTCGCTGAGTTCGCACATCTCCACCGCTCCGAACGGAGCTAGGTTATAACTGGGGTTATAAGTCCCCTAAGTGGGGTTATCCTAATTATAACCTACTTACAATCTTATTTACTAAGTCCCATGAGCCTTCAAGCAGTAATTCAAGCTGTCTTCCCTACGTCCCAGACAAGTACATACACAAACAGCGCGCCCCCCGGGATGGTTAGCAGGGCTTCGAGCAGAAGTCGAAGAGTTGGAACATGGAAATAGGCTGAAGTATGAAGACCTGACAAAACCGATTGCGCAGTCGAATTAAAAGTGTCGACGTTGTTGACGTAAACGAGCCAGAACAAATCTGATGATGTGCGGCTCGTTGATTATGATGCTGATGCTGGGTGTGATGTTGATGCTCAGTGGCAGCGCTTGCCCCGGTTATCATGCAAATCTAGTTCTTCGATGAAATCGATGCTTTAGAGAGCGGTGCGCTCTGTTGTTTATGATTGCGCCACAGGAGTCCCTTCATTGACAGTAAGCTGATGCTCGCATGTGCTAGGGTGGTGCCTGTAGCTGCTCGGTGCACAGCCCGCATGCATATGCCGTCGCCATCTGCAGCATGACGTTGAATGTGGGCACCGAGGGACCACTGCAAACAGCAGGAGGATGCAAAGCAGCTGAAACAGCGCCAGACGCTCAAAGAGAATCTTGGATGAACTCAGCTTAAGGAGCAGCCCAGGGTTGCACCGCTTGAGCAGGAGGATTTTCTACAAGATGGATCAGCAGGGTGATTCGAACCGAGACTTGTCCAAAGCCTTGGTCCGTTGATGCTGTCATCGATCGTGTGCTGCAGTGGCTTGTGGATGTGCCGGTTCAATGTTTCAGGAAAAGTCAGCGAGACGGAGTTCAATAGGAGGCTGAACGATGGGGAGGTCAAGGAATCTTTGGAGGCCGCTTCCAATTAGCCGTGTCTCGCGGCTAATTGGAAGCAGACTGCAGCAAAAAACATTGGTATGTGTGTTTTCCTTTCAGAGATATAGCTGCTGTCTACACTCAGGAAAATACCAATCAATGATTTGCCGAAGCTTTTCGAGCTGCTGTGTAAACATCCCACCAAGGGGGGCGAAGCCGATCTTGATTAGAGGGAAGTCGTTGCTTATTTACGTTTGTGTTGCAGCCAGCGGCTGTTTTTCTCGATGCCCAAGGAGCCGCAGATTGATCTTGACCAGACTTGCCTGATCTTGTGTTCCAGCACGGCAGCCCTGGCCATGCCAGTCCGGGAGTGAAGTGGGTCCACTCCGACACTCCAAAGTCCCGGGGTCCTCTGCCCGCAATCGAAGGGGGCGAGCCGTCTGCCAAGTCCGCCAAGAAGGCCCAGGATCCACCGCCTGTGCCGGGGTCGATGTTAATACCGGACGAGATCTACGAGGACCCCCAGACCATGACTCTCGCATTCTAATCACGTTTGCGTACTCTTGCTGGCTCTTCCCATCAACAGAAGTGAGTGTGATGTGAACAGCCTTTTTCGCGATCACCAACATAGTTCCATCACATAGTTTTCCCACATCTCGTTTTCAACCATGAATCTCGAGGTCCACTTCGAGCATCCCCCGGGGCCCGTCGCAGCCTTCTGTCGTTTCCCCTCCCATAAGGTGTGTGGACCCCCGGGGCCTCAGTAAGGGCTTCGTTCTTAGCCCGATGAGCACCCACACCTTGCCTCGACTGCTGCGTCGGGGTCTTTCTCCCGCTTCCACGCCGACTTTCCTCCTTGCTGTTCATGTCGTTCCAGACTGTTAAATTTCAATATTACTGCCTTTAGAGGGGGATAAAAAAAATCTACTGGAATTAAGGTTTTGGCAATGGCTGCAAGCTGAGAAAGAAACCGATCAAGCACATGTGCGCTTCGGAATACTTTTCTCTTGTTGCCCGCATTTTGGTCGACGACCGGGTCCTCCATTTCAGGAGTAGTGTTCCTCTGCTAACTCTGCTATGCAGAGGCGTCTGGCGTCTGTGTGTCAGCACCACTGTTTGTAGGCTTTTTCAGCAGATTTAAAAAATCTTTTTCTTGTTTTTCAAAGTCTTTGTTTCAGCAGTTTTTTTAAATTAAAAAAAATATTTTTCACATTCTTCATTCCAGCAGATTTTTTTTATGAAAAACAAATATTTCTTTTATTTTTTCAAAGTCTTTATTTCAGCAGACTTTTTTTTATAAACTTTTTCCAAAAGTTTTCATTCCAGCAGATATTTTTTTTATAAAACTTTTTTTTGGTTTTTTGTTTCAATTTTTTTCAAAATCTGTATTTCAGCAATTTTTTTTATAGAAAAAATATTTTTTCAAAATCTGTATTTCAGCAGCTTTTTTTGTAAAAAAAAAAGTATTCTTTTTACGTTGTTTCAAGTTCTTCGTTCCAGTAGATTTTTTTAATAAACTATTTTTCTTATTTTTTCAAAATCTTTATTTCAGCAGATTTTTTTATATTTTTTAAATTTTTACCAAATTCTTCTTTCCAGCAATTTTTTTCATATTTATTTCCGCAGATTTTTTATTAAAAAAAAAAAAAAATTTCCTGCACAGACCTTTATTTCAGAAAAAAAACAGCAATTTCAGATTTTTTTTTATAAAAAAAATATTTTTTTTATTTTTTCTGCACAGACCTTTATTTCAGCAAAAAAGCCGCAATTTCAGATGATTTTTTTTATAAAAAAAATCTTTTTTTTATTTTTTTCTGCACAGACCTTTATTTCAGCAAAAAAACCGTAATTTCAGATGATTTTTTTTATAAAAAAAATCTTTTTTTTATTTTTTTCTGCACAGACCTTTATTTCAGCAAAAAAACCGTAATTTCAGAGGATTTTTTTTATAAAAAAAAATCCTCTGAAATTAAGGCCTTTTTGAAAAATTCACACTCTAAAAACAGTGCCAAAAACCCCAAAACACCTGAAATTCATTCAGAATCTAGAGTGCAGATAGCGAATCAGCACTCTATTTTCTGATACAAATTCAGGTTTTGCAGGTTTTCTGCATCAAGATTTAGAATGTGATTTTTTCAAAAAGGCCTTAATTTCAGAGGATTTTTTTTATAAAAAAAATCCTCTGAAATTACGGTTTTTTTGCTGAAATAAAGGTCTGTGCAGAAAAAAATAAAAAAAAATTTTTTTATAAAAAAAATCCTCTGAAATTACGGTTTTTTTGCTGAAAAAAAGGTCTGTGCAGAAAAAATAAAAAAAAGATTTTTTTTATAAAAAAAAAATAAACTGAAATTACGGTTTTTTTGCTGAAATAAAGGTCTGTGCAGAAAAAAATAAAAAAAAGATTTTTTTTATAAAAAAAATCCTCTGAAATTACGGTTTTTTTGCTGAAATAAAGGTCTGTGCAGAAAAAATAAAAAAAGATTTTTTTTATAAAAAAAATCCTCTGAAATTACGTTTTTTTTGCTGAAATAAAGGTCTGTGAAGAAAAAAATAAAAAAAAATAAAGATTTTTTTTATAAAAAAAGCTGCTGAACTATTTTTTTCAAAAAAAAAACCAAAAATGCGTTTATAAACTGATCTGTTGAAACACAGATTTTCGAAAAATAAAAACAAAAAGTATTTAAAATAACTGCCAAAGTAAATGCGCAGCAAAAAAATCTTTCCCTTATAAAATGAATTGCTGGCACTGCTGTAATAAGAAATATCAGAAAAACATGAACATTATTTAAAAAAGGCTGCTAAGGTAAGTTAGAAAGACTATGTAAAATCTGCCAAAGTAAAGATTTCAATAGTTTTAGATTTAACAATAACATTTACCGTGACAAATCTTTCGTGTAAACAAAAAGATGCTTTCTATCAGACAACAAACTGTTTCTTTCACAAAATTCTGCCTCAGGAAATGTCTGCCGATAAAATGTATGTTGTCACATAGAATGACGAGTTTTCTGCTGAAGCATAGTTTTGATTCCGCTATGTTCCTCTGCAGAGAAGATTTCTCCTTATCTTGCAGGCAAGACAAACCGTGTTAAGCTTAAGGCAAAGGACTACGGTCCGGCATTCAGCTGTATGTAAAAACAAAGGCGAGCTTTTTTCTGTTTCAAGTCCTTTTTTCTTGACACACAATGAAGTCAGAAGGAATGTGGCAAGGGACTGCGTAGGAAAAATCAAGCACCAGTCGGGATGCTAAACAGCAGCAAGAAAGCATCACCGGGTATTCCAAGCAGAGGTTTATGATAGATCTGGGACAGCGCTACCTACCCGTGAAAGGACTCAACATGGATGATTGCCTTTAGACTAGACGTCAGCACTGTCCAACCAGGCACCTCGTACACAAGCAACCTTCGCAAGAAGCTTAATTTCAGCAGATTTTTTTTATGACCTGAATATTGAAATTTAACATTCCAGACCCTCCTTCTCGCTCCGAGATCGGGGGTCTGGGTAAACGACCCTCGTTAGGCCGTAGCTCCGCTTCTTCCCATTTCGTCCACAACGCAGGGCTCTTCATGTCGTTCCAGACCCCCCTTCTCACTCCGAGATCGAGGTCTGGGTAAACGACCTACCTACCTACCAGGAGGTGAAAAAGGCGCTGGAGAACCACGAGGTCGACGAGAAGGTCCAGTACGAGGATTGAAGGTTCCAGGTTAGCTTGTCTCATCCGAACTTCAGGTTGGGGTTAGAGTTGACCAGAACTCCAAGCATTCCAAGCTGAGGTTAGAGTTGGGGTTGACTCGAACCCGAAATCTGTTCGCTTTTTAACTTGAACTCGAGGTTAGAGTTGGGGTCAAATCGAACTCGAACCTATTTCCAAACCTCGATCAGAGGTTGCCTTCCTGTGGAAGGTATATTGGCACACAGCACGCAGAAGCGATTTTCTGGAACGTCCGCCCTCGATTCTTAGCCAGCAAACAACTGGTACAAGTAAATCTAAGCCGTATCGCACAGGTGCAATGCTTTGGCAAGAGTTCTTGAATTGGGTGAAAGAGTGTCTGGACGTAGTTAGGTCTTTTTGTGCTTCTTGTCGGGACCGAGCGCTGCCGTCTACAATGCCGCCGACGCCAAATATGCTTTATTCAAAATTTGTTGCGTATTTTTTCGGTCCTAACACCACATGAAGCAACGATACATCGGTTTCGCTTCAATAAAAGTGCAAAACGTTCTCAAGCTGGAATTCAACCAAAATGGAGGTCGCTCATCTGTCCGATGTTTTTCGTGTTTCGGGTCTTGAAAGTCGCGTGACGGTGCGACGCGATGCCTTGCAGTTTTTCAAGCATTAGAACTGCCTTCTAACGCTTCTTCAGCATCCTGCTGGCCTTAGGAAGAACAACATGAGAAAGAAGATGCCCTACTATTGCAGCTTTGCTGCTGTTCCTGACCATTAGAACCCAAATCGAGCTTCCAAAGCCTCCGATTAAAAGAATGCGTTTTCCAAGACTTGCTAAACGAATCTGGGAAATCTAGAGCTCAACGCAGTTCTTAAATCCTAAAATGCAGTAGTGAGATGCTCTAGTTTCTGGCAGTGCCTTGAGCGAGTGTGCGAGTCGAAACCCGACAAAGGGACCGATGCTGTAATTTGGCTTCCAAGTGGCTGAACCGGTTTTGGAATGGAAGTGGCTTAAATTTTTGGTTACTTGCAGAACTGGGCCGACAGTTGTCTGAAAGAAAAGCAGTTTACTGGCTTTGAATGCATTCCAGAAGGTGTTAAGCCCTACAATTTGAGAAGTAAATCCAGTGGCAGGACACCACAGGTTTGTTTTGTTTTTCTACGAAGCAGGATGCTTTGCGGTTCAAGGACCAGATAACACTTGTTGGATCCTTTTGACCGTCTGCTTGCGGTTGGTGTTGAACACTGACCTGACGACGTATTGACGTCTTTTGCATCCAACTCTGCCAAGTTGGTCAGTGGGCACATGGAGCATATCGAGCTTAGGTTCCAGTACATTGGGTCAATGGATCACGTGAGCACATTGAGCACCATCAATTGCGTGGCCCAAGCATAGCAAGCTGCAGGTTGTGCCAAATGTGCCATGTCGATTCCCTGCCGCAAGCCGGTGCTTGGTTTGTGGCATGTGTTGGCATGGCTCTGAACCTCCGAGTGGTCGAGCTGTTCCGTCAGACCATCTTCGTTTTGATTTCGGATGTGACAAAAGCAGGGGAGAAGTCCTCGAAGGAGGTCGTAACCTGCCATGTCAGTAAATAGGCAGCAACTTGTCCCCTCAATCCTCAACTAAGTATCGAATTTGAGATATGTGCTCATTTCCCTTCTTGGGCGATATGGAGCCCTAACTCTGAATAAGTTTCGGGACTGTTGAAATCGACACCAAGTAGACCCTCCACCCGAAGTTTTGCAGATGCCTTGGTGCTGCCTGTTGGAACGCGTCTTATCAAAGGAGGGACTCGGAAACCCAAGGTTCCCACCTCACTCGTTTATTTTTTATACCGCCTTCAGGCTCTTCGGAGCCTGGGGTGGCGAAATTTTGACTGACCGCATCAGCCTTAAACAGTTGGCTGGTTTTGACTCTGCTCTAGCTATTTCCCACCCTATAATAACCCTTACAGTAACCCCTTGCAGGAACCCTTTTCGAACCCCATAAAGAAACCCTTATTATAGGGAAGGGGCTTCACAGACGCCCGCAGCTTGGTGTGGCACGAGGCTTTGGGAAAACGGCTCGTGCGCTGGGTGTGCTGAGTCAATGCTTCCGGAAGGTTTAGGGTTTAGGGCCCAGGGGTTTAGGGGTGCAAGGGGTTTAGGGGTTTAGAGGGCCCCGGGGTTCGGGTCTTGGGTTTAGGGTTTAGGGGTTTAGGGTTTAGGGCCTAGGCCTCTGTGTGCGGCTTGAAGTTGAGCACGTGTTGTAGCCCCAAGACCTACACCTCCCAGTCATGGACAGAAGCTTGAATCCGACCATGCGAATGGGTGCCCCAAAGTTTGGAGGCTGAATAGACCCGGGACCTCTAGAATTCCTTTAAGGGCTCCTTTAAGGGTTCCTTTAGGATTAGGGTTTAGAGCGTTTAGGGAAGCTTCTGGGAGACTGTCGCATCACATCTCGGCGCCCTCCTGGCTCAGCTTAACACTCGGGTTTGGGGTGAACCAAGGATCCATGCCTTTTGTGGGGCGGTTCACGAACCGATGGTTGTCCGCTTCCGGTGCCTCGTGCCTCGTGTAGGATTGACTTCAGGTTGCCTGTCAACTGCATGAGGGCTTAGGGTTTAGGGTATAAAGTGTAGGGATCATGTTTTCGCCAAGTGCTCCCTTTGAGCGGGTTCCAGGGTACGAAAGCAAGACAGCACAGAGCAGCGTTTAGGAGCCAGGCGTCAGAATCCTAGAGTGTCTGGATCTGCATGTTTCCCCTCCGGGAAGTTTTTGGCAGGCGGGTGTCGTCTTATGGCCCGAGGTTCATTGGAGTATTGCTTTTGGATTCTAGCACAAGGTTGCCGAGTTTCTGAACTTCGCATCCCGGTGGTACTGAAGCCAGAAGCACTAAAGAGCAGCCGTTGATCTTTCTCGGTAGGTGAGACTTGGGTTTCGGGTTTAGGGTTGCCGGGCACGAGCAAACGAACTCGAATGTCAGGCGCGTGATAAACCCGTTTCTTCGCCCTAAACATTGACCGCTTCACAACCATCTTTGTGTTGCTGCACTTACGTGTTATATTTACCTTTCTTTCAGTTGCGTGCTTCAGACGAGTCAAATCTCAGCTTCACACAGCTACAATCAGTGGAATGAGTAAATTTCGTGTTTGTTCATGTACAAGTTTCGTTTCGGATGTTTAGACAGTGTAACTACACAAACAGTTTTATACAAATAGTATGTCGAAACTCAGTTTGTCAAACCAAGTCCAAGATGATAAGTATGGCTTCCAAGAATGAAGGAAGATTAAAACACGATGATGAAAACACACCAGCGAAAGAACAGAAAACAGGTGTATCTGACTGACGTTGACTTACTGCAACATCTTTTAATGACATAGCGACATACTTGTTGACCTTGACTTTTGTGGCAATTATAGCAACTAGTTGGCCACTTTTAATCAGGCTCGTATGCTATCTGCCATACTTGGCGGGTGAAGTGTTGAGTCCATGGGCTCGGCAGACCCCGTCTATTCTGATTGGTTCATTGACTTTGACGGCTGCTCCAACAGCCCTCAGAAACCCATGGCCGTTTTCGAAAGGGCATGCGCTACTCGTAACGAGAGACTTCTGAGATCTGCTTAAAGGATCAGGGGACTCCGTAGGTAAAGTTCCATGTAAGGCATCTGTAGCTACAAAAATTTTCGGTTTACAACCTAATCAAGGTAGGTTTAGCCTAACACCAAGTGCCCAAGACAAATGTGCACCCATCCCTCCAAGCCCCAAAATCCTTCAAACCTTGCAGCAACCCTTAAAGCAAGCCTGCAAGGGGAACCTTAAAGGAAGCTTTTGAAAGGGACCCGTATCCTCCAAGCGACAAGTTCACTCCATAAGCCCTAAACCCCGAAACCCTATAAGTTATAAGCCTTAAATCCACTCTAAACCTGTTCTCACAGGTCCTTAGAAATTAATGGCTGCTGAGACGGCTGCAAAGGGCGGCATTCAGAGGAGGCTCCCTTGACTGGTGGTGCCAGTGCTAGGTGGTGGTGGTGGTGGTGGTGGTGGTGGTGGCGTCGGCGGCGGCGGCGGCGGTGGTGGTGGTGGTGGTGGGTTTAGGGTTTGGGGTTTAGGTATACATAGGTATAAATGTGTATACATACACAAAGTTGACGGACACATGATTTCTTGTTTGTGGACCCAGTGGTTGTGGTGATGGTGTCAGCATCTTCTGGTGTTCCTCTTGAAACTGCCAGGTCCGGGTATTTGAAGCTTGGAAGGGGCTGAGCCCCCGAACCCAATGCCCCACATGAGACTTTAAAGCCACGAACCACACCCTAAACCCCCAAGTCCTAAGCCCTAACCCGCTAGACCGTGTGGCCGAATTCCGACAACCTTTATTTCACCCTGCCAGAACAGTGAAGTGCCAGTGCTTCCAGAATTTCGCGGAGGGTCTTGGAGTGTGTTGTTCTTCTTTTTGCGACTTCTGTGTGTGAGATCTACAGATCTGCAAGGGTTCTATGAGCTTTGTTTTTGGGGTTTTGGGGATACGGTGCTGCAGGATTGTAGAAGCAAACGCCCCGAGGGTGATAGCTTCTCATCCTCTGCCGCTTCGCTTGCAGACAATTCCGACGTGAGCGGGCCGTGATGGACCCACAGCAGGTTATCGACGTGGCTTGGACAGCCATTCGCTTTGTCTTGAAGGTTGCGGGTTTGTGCTTCAGGGCGGGAAGTGTGTTTGAGAAGGCATTTCTTTCGGGCCCTATAGTAAAAACACATAGTTTCGTTATTCTGGTGCCTCACCCTTATCAAGAACCCTAAACCCGAAACCCTAAACCCTATGAAGTTCGGGATTCGGGAGTCTGCTCGACTCGGGGCAGGCGTGGGTCTCTTGATTCATCGGGGGACTTAGTAAGTAATTATTTGATTCATCGGGGGACTTAGTAAGTAATTATTTTATAGAGTTGTAAGTACCATAACCCCAATTAGGGTCCCTATTAAGGTACTTATAAGTCAAAATAATAACTACTTACTAAGACTGTTCTTCGATGAAGCTTGCTGCGTAGTGGTGCAGGTTCTTCTTGCGTCCGGGGTTGATGGTTGGGGGTTTTGGGGTGGGGTTCAGGGCGTCCTGTATCAATATGCCTACATCATGAGGTCCTAGTCTTACGCTTCAAAGCAGATGGCTTTCAACTTAAGCTTTCGCTGTTACCTAGTTTCTCTTCAGCTGTCAGCTGCCCTCGATGCCCCTAAACCCGGAGCTTTAAAGCCTACCCTCAACCTTCAACCGACTTCCCAAGGCCGAAGCCGTGAACCCTAGAATTCCTAAAGCCTCAGACCCTAAACCCTAGAATTCTTAAAGCCTTAGCCCCGAAATTCTGGAATTCCTAAAGCCTTAAACCCTAAATCCTAAACTTCCTAAAGCCTTAATCCCTAAATCCTACACTTCCTAAACCTTGAACCCGAGACAAGGTGGTGTCTTCACCGTCTTCGTCGTCATCCGCCAGGCAAGGGCTTTCGTGCAGGGCCGCCGAAATCGCGACTACAGTCCCTTTAAGGGTTCTCTCAGGGTTCCTTCAAGGGATCTTAAAGGGTCCCATTAAGGGATTTACATGGGCTCTATAGTCGGGTTTTGCAGGGATTAAGGATTTCTCTAAGCGTTTTTGTTTTATTGGAGTGTGTTTCAGAAACTGAGCGGCCTTATATAGGGATCCGCCAAGTAAGAATCCCATTATTAAAGGTCCGCAGTGGGCTTTCCAAGGTTCACACCGTAATGCTTCTGTAGTAGCTTATCTGCTCCCGGTTCAGAGTTGAGGATGTAGGGTCCCTAGTCCTGTTACTGCGTTTAGTGGCTACGGTTTTGGGGTTTCGGGTTAATGGCTTCCTGCAACCCCTGCTGCTACATTGCCAGCAGCAGCAGTATTGGTATTGCGAACATCACAAGCCGCTGCTTGACGACGATGCCGACGGCTCGTATTGCTATTACTGCAGCTGCTGCGACAAGGACTGCCTTTCATAACAATTATCTTCACCGTGGCAGCACAAAAGCCCTAACACCCCGAAGCCGTAAACAACCACACTAAAGCCATACAAGCACTAGCGGACGCCGTCGTGTTTTACCTAGACCCTTCAAAGGATCTAGGCAAAAAAGCCCCGGTTTCCTACTATGTCATGGGCTATGATCGGGCCTTTTTCAGATGTCCATCTGTTGGGTCCATTAACGGGCATTTAAAGGGCTTCGGCACACGACCCTTTAAAGCCTTTGAGAGAGCCCCAGTATCCTACTCGTACATGGGCTTGCGCAAGGCCTGTTTAGGTATCCATGAAGCGGTGTCGGTAGGCATCCTGTAAAGCTTTTGAAAGCCGCTGTCGCAGGCCAAAATCTTCAAGGAACGTCAAGTTCAACGAGGCCTGCGATTGGGGCGGGTAAAGATTGCAAGCCCGGGGCTCTCTTTCAAATGACGATCAGGGTTTCTAGTAACATTGTGATCAGGGTTTCTAGTAACATTGTTTTCCTTATTTTAAGTCCGAGTTTGCAGGGTTATCATAAGATACAGAGATGGGTTTTATAGGGGTTTCGGGGCTTTGGGGTTCATCATATGAAGCAGAGGCTTGAGGGTTTAGGCTTTATCGCTTCAGTGTTTAGCTTAGGCCTTGAGACTGTAGGTTCAGGGCCCCCCAGGCCGAGGTCCCAACAACAACCCAGAATTCCGGGAGTATCCAAAAAGTAGTTCCCTTAAAGGGGGGGTTCCGTTAAGGGTTCCTTTAAGGGATCTATAGGGTTTTAGGGTTTGGGGTTTAGGGCTTAGGGGAGGATCAATGGGGGTTCCTATAAAATACCCTTAGTAGTCTAGGGCCCCAAATTAGGGGATCTACTTTCGAGATCCTCCTGCAGGTCTGGGAATTCGTTGAGGTAGGCTACGTTCCTCAGGTGCTCTTTGGATTTCGTTGCTAAGGGATCTTCAGCTCATCCTGAGTAAGCGCCCAGAAGTGTCGCTTGACAGCTGACGATGTGAGCGACATCCTGAAAGCTACAGCAATCGCATCTCAACTCTAAGCAAGTCTACGTTCCGGTTGAGTTAGATCAGGCCCTAAGCCGCAAACTCAAGACGCTATTGTTGGTTATGTCGGGATCAGAGAGCAAGCCATGGACTTCTAATCCGGTTTAGGGTTTAGGGAACCCTGAATCTAAGTCTGAGCTTCCTGTGAAAAGTAACTTAGACTTGGGCCCTAGCAACCTAGCACTATGTGGGTTAAGGCAGTGATTGACATTTGTCACGGGTCTTACACCCCAAATCTTGAAAGAACCCGAGCCGCTTGAATCCTAAACCCTATCATGAGCATCCCTAACCTTAAAGCCTTTGTACAAACCATGCAAGCCGTTGGACAGCCGTATGCAAACCGAAAGCACCCTGGAAACAACCCAACATGACCAGTGAAAGCAGCATAGCAACTGGTGAAATCTCCATGTAACCCATCAAAGACCCGATGACACCCCATAAGGACTTGTCAGCAACCCTTAGATTCAACGCTTAAAAGCCCAATAGAAGCCCTGCCCTAAACCCTAAACCCACACCCCTAAACCACCAAACCCTAAACCCTAAACCTTTAAACCAAAAACCCTAAACCACCAAATCCTAAACCCTAAACCCCTAAACCCAAAACCCTGAACCACCAAACCCTAAACCCTAAACCCCTAATCTTTGAACCCTAAACCACCAAACCCTAAACCCTAAACCCCAAACCCCTAAACCCCAAACCCAAATCCATCAAACCCTAAACCCCTACAGTAAATCCCTGAACCCTAAACCCTTAAAACCACTTTAATAAAAACCCTTGAAAGCCCATGGAAGCCTCGCCCCAGAACGTGGAAGCCTTTGAGTTCGCACGACTTTTGGGTGGCTCCGGCGGGGTGCGGGGCCTCGTGGGTAGCGTTTTCGGCTTGGAAGCGGTTGTTAGTCAGGGTTTGGGGTTAGGGGGTTTAGGGGGGTTTAGGGGGTTTAGGGGGTTTAGGGGGTTTAGGGGGTTTAGGGGGTTTAGGGGGTTTAGGGGGTTTAGGGGGTTTAGGGGGTTTAGGGGGTTTAGGGGGTTTAGGGGTTTAGGGGGTTTAGGGGGTTTAGCGGGTTTAGGGGGTTTAGGGGGTTTGGGGGGTTTAGGGGGTTTAGGGGTTTCAGGGGGTTTAGGGTTCAGGGGGTTTAGGGTTTAGGTTGGGTTTATGGAGGTTTTATAGGCTTGTTCTTATCCTAAACCCTAAACCTGTACATGGAGTTTCAATGTTGTATGAGAGAGCAGGTTTGAGGTGTGCGGGCTTTGGGTTTGAGGTCTAGGTTTTGGGCTTGGGGTTTAGTGAATGCGGATTTGGGCCCTAAGCCCTAAACCCTAAACCCTAAACCCTAAGCCCTAAACCCTAAACCCTAAACCCTCAGGCATTTCCCGGTTCGGGCTTTTCGGGGTTTTCGAGCTTAGGAAGTCGGTCCTCGAGCTTCAGGCTTAGGGCTTCAGACTGTTGTGTTGGAGATGACCCAGAGAGCCCAATACTCCTTAATTGAGAAATACCTAGGGTTCCTTTAAGGGATCTATAAGGGATCTATAGGGGTTTAGGGGATTCTAATACCCCTTAATGAAGGAATATAGCATAAATCATAGTATGAAGCCCTTTATAACCTAAGCCACATTCCTTAATTAAGGGGTATTGGGCTCCCTGGGGAGCTTTCCTGAGGCTTCTATAGGCTTGTAGCGGTTTGAGGGTTTCGAGGTCAGGTTAGGGTTGTCAAGCTTCGAGTTTGACTTTTCGTTCCAGCTAATTTGCATCGAGAAGTAAGAGTTGAGGGCTAAACCCTGACCCTGACCCTAAACCCTAAACCCTAAACCCTAAACCCTAAACCCTAAACCCTAAACCCTAAAGACCCTGACCCTAAACCCTGAGCCTTGAACCCCAAATCCTAACCCCAGCAGATTCAGAGCTGTTAGGAACTATCTGGGGTGACATTTTGCGCCGAAGATAGTCTAGGGGGCTTGAATAATCTTACAAGAAAAATCATGTTTCTAGGGCTCCTTTAAATCATGTTTCTAGGACCCTTTTCCCAGACCCCCGAGAGGATCTAGGCAGTAGATCCCCTAATTTGGGGCCCTATACTTTATGGGAACCCCCATTAAGGGATCTACTTTTTGGATCCTCCCGAGGGTTTGGGTAATTCAGAAGTTTAGGGTCCAGGGCTTTCTCCAATGTTTCAGCTGGAACCTAAACCCCGAGCCCCAGGTCTTCAAATCCGCAGAAAAGGTTGGGGTTTAGGGAGGGTTTAGGGTTTGGGGGTTTAGGGGTTTAGAGTTTAGGATTTAGGGATGCCTTGAAGCACCAAACCCGAGCCCCACAACGAAGCCTCACAGCCGTAAGTCCCTAAGCCCCTAAACCATAAGCCCTAATCCTAAAGCCCTAAACCCCTAGACCCTAAAGCCCCAAACCCTTCGCCCCTAATCTCCCTAAACCTTAGCCCTTCAATGCTTTCGGCCTTAGGGGATGCATAAGGATCCTTTATTAAGGGATCTTTAAGGGATCCTTCAAGGTATCTAGACGGATCGTTTCAGGGATCTATACGGGTTCCTTCAAGAGGTCATGTGGGTTTGGGATGGTCCCAGGTCCCCACTGACGGCACCTGGGCTGCTCTGGGCCTTGGACAG